GATAAAGGGCATTATTGAAAAATCCACAGCTAATATTATAGTTAATGGGGAGAAATGGAAAGCTTCCTCTAAGAGCTGGTGCATGGGGCTGGGGTTGTGGCCCAGTGGTAGAGCGCTTGCTTAACATGTGCGAAGCCTTGGGTTCGATCTTCAGCACCACATAAAAATAAATAAAATAAAGGTATTGTATCCAACTACAACTAAAAAAAAATTTTTTTTTTAAAAAAGAGTTGGTGCAAGGCAAGGATGCCTACTCTCACTACTTCTACTCAATGAAGTACTGGAAGTGCTATCAAGAGCAATTAGACAAAAAAGAGAAATAAAAGTTATCCAAATCAGATTGGAGAAAGTAAAAATTATGTCAATTTGCAGACAACATGATAACATACAGAGAGAACTCCAAAGACTCCACCAAAAAGAAAAAACTGTCAGATCTATTAAGTAAATTCAATGAGGTTGCAGGATATAATTTCAGCTTATAAAAATCTGTGACACTTCTATATGTAAATAATGACCCAACTAAAACAGAAATCAAGATAATAGTCTCTTCTATAATAGTATCAAAAATAAAATACTTAAGAAAAAATTTAACCAAGGAAGTGAAAGACCTGTGCACTGAAAACTATAAAACAATGATAAAATATGGATATTCATGAATTTTAAGAATTGTTTTTCTACTTCTGTGAAGAATGCCATTGGAATTTTAAGAGGGATTGCATCAAATCTACATATTACTTTAGTTAGTGTGAACTTTTAAATAATATTCTTTCCAATATGTGAGCATGAAATACCTTTCCATTTATTTGGAAAATAAATGGTATCCATCAATGAACACAGAAACTGTGAGGTAGATATAATTATCCAGCCATTGCACGGAAGATGGAAGGTGACCCTCATTGTTATACAAAATTACATATAAGAGGATGTGAGGGGGAAGGGAAAAAAGAGAAATGAGTTACAGTAGATGGGGTAAAGAGAGGTGATGGGAAGGGAGGGGAGGGGGATAGGAAGGAGATAGGGAGGGCAGCAGAATACAACAGACACTAGTATGGCAGTATATATAAACGTGGCTGTATAGCCAATGTGATCCTGCAATTTGTACATGTGGGAAAAATAAGAATTCATACCCCATTTAAATCAAATGTATGATATATGATATGTCAATATCATTGTAATGTTTTGAGCAACTAATAAAAGTAAAATAAATAAAAATAAATAAATAAATAAAAAAGAAAAGATAATCTTGCCATTTGCCACAATGTAGGATCTGGAGGACATTATGCCAAGCAAAATAAACTAGAAAAGTAGGGCCTGGTCACATTTACATGCAGAGAATAAAATAGTGGCTATTAGGGTCAAGGTAGGGATGGGGAGAAATGGGGAGATGTATATCAAAGGACACAAAATAACAAGTATTAAGCTGAACAAGACAAAAGATTTGGTATATAACATGAGGACTATAGTTAATAAGTCAGGAATTTTGCTATGTAAGTAGAATATAGCTGCTCTTGCCATAGGGAAGGAAAATAGGTCACTATAGGAGATGATGAATATGTTAACTTATTCCACTATAGTAACTGTTTTACTATACATGTCTCTATTTAAAGAATTGGGTCTTTAAATATGTAAAATAAAATTCAGATTTTAAAAAAGTAGAAGAGACTTTTTCAAGCTGATGAAGGACATCTATGGMAAACCCACAGCTAACATCATACTTAAATGATAAAAGACCCAGGGCTTTAAGATTAGGAGCCAGACAATGATGTCTATTCTCACCACTTTGACATTTTATGAGAGGTTTCTAGCCAGAGTAGTTATATAAGGAAATAAAATAAAAGGCATTCAGTTTGGAAAGGAATAAAGTAACACGATCTATTTACAGATGACTTGATCTTTTGTCTAGAAAATCCTAAGGAATGCACCAAAAATTATTAGAGCTAATAAAATGAATTCTGCACAGTTGTAAGACACAGGATCAATTTATAATAGGCAGTTGGATTTTAATTAACAATGAACAAACTGAAACTGAAATTAGGAAAATCATTACATTTACAGCAGAATCAAAATAACAAAATACTTAGGAATAAATTTAACTAAAGAATGGGGCTAGAATTGTAGATCAGTGGTAGAACATTTGCTTAGCTCGTGTGAGGCACTGGGTTCGATCCTCAGCACCACATAAAAATAAATAAAAGTATTGTGTCCATCTACAACTAAAAAATAGTTTTAAAAAATTCAATCAAAGAAGCATAAAACCTGTTTACTAAAACTATAAAATACTGTTTAAAGAAATTAAAGAATACAAAACAGACAAAAAGATAATGCTTGTTCATAGATGTGGAAGATTTAATATTGTTAAAAATGGAAATATTCCCCTAATCGATTTACAGATTCAATATAATTCAAAACAAAATCCTAACCGGGGTATGGGTATAACTCAGTGGTAGAGTGCTTTCCCAGCATGTGTGTTTTGGTTCCAACTCAGGAGCACATGCGTGCGTGTGAGCGCGCACACACACGCACACACACACACACACACACACACACACACACCCCAAATCCTGACTGCCTTTTTTCCTTTTTGCAGAAATGTAAAAGCTTATTTTAAAATTCATATGGAGTGTAAGTGACCCACAAAAGCCAAAACAATTCTGAATTTAAAACAAAAACAAGGTTGGAGAACTCATGTCCCATTTCTACAGGATTACGTCATGCTAAGCAAGACAGTATGGAACTGGCCTAGGGTGCACAGAGAGATGAGTGGAAGAAAACAGAGATTCCAGGAGTGAACTCAAACCTTTATGGTCAGTTAACTTTTTACAAGAGTGACAAAACAATTGAATGGGCAAAGAATATTCTTTTCAACAAATTGTGCTGAGACAACTGGGCACGAATTAGACCCATATTCCACAGAACATACAACAATTAGCTTGAAATTGAACAAAGACTTAAATGTAAGAACTAAAATAATAAAACTCCTCAAAAAGTTTTTTTTCTTTTTTACATGAACTTGGATTAAGAAATGGTTTCTTTATGACACCAAAAAGCACAAGCAACCAAAGAAAAACTAAAGATATGGAACTTCATCAAAATGTAAAACCTTTGCACTTCAAAAGACCCTACCAAGAAAGTTAGAGGGAAAATATTTGCAAAGTATTGCTAAGAATCTAGTATTGTTATGCCAGATTCGTGGGACCCCAATAGACCTCCAGGAGCTGAATCCGATACAATCACACAAGAGTCTTTATTGCAAGCTTGAGCCTGGACTCACAACCTTCCCGATGCAGCGGTCCCAGGGAGTGAGTCCCAGACCTTTGTTCAGTGAGATTTTATAGGTTTTGGGGGAATACTCTGTGCGTCACAACATCACACAGCAAATCATTCCATATCGCAGGAAAATCAAACAACAACTCTTAACATTGATTAGCACATTCAATGTCGGGAAAAGTTGGGTAGGAGTGATTGGTTAGTACAAGAGGGGGATTCGTTTGAACTGATTGGTTTAGGCCAAGAGGGGTGTACGTGCTAAACTACATGGTTTCCCAACATGTTATCAACCACCATAAGCTACTGGGAGGGTCATCTGGCATCCCAGGTATTTCCCTGTCTCATGCTGATTGGTGGCTGCTAGGGGGTTGCTATGGGTCCTCACCTAGCCTGACTGAGTCAGGGACACCTGGCACAGCAGATCTCTCCTGTTATTTGTAGATAAACAACTCAGCAGGGTGGGTATGTGCCTAGGAGTGCTCTGTGGGTCTTTCCAAGAACAAGGGTCACGTCCCCTTCCTTGGACAGGCTTTGCTCTGAGGTAGAGCCTGGTTTCTCAAAAATGAAGTCACATTAGTTTCTCAGTATTCAGAATATATAAAGAACTCTTACAATCAAACAATAAAAAGACAACCCTGTTTTATAAAGTGGGTAGATGTTTAAAATAGACATTTATCCAAAGAAGATATAAACATGAGTACATACACAAAAAGTGAAATAAAATCAAGACATTATTAGTCTCACTAGGGAAATTCAACTCAAGTCACAATAATGTAACCATCTTACACCCACTAGGATTTTTATAATAATAAAAATAAAAGGAAGGAAGCAAAGAGAGGGAAATAACATGAATGAACCTTGGAGCTTTAGACCAGGAGTGAAAAAAGCCAGTCACAGAAGACCATGTATTTGTGTTTCCATTTATATGAAATATTTAGAATCGAAAAATCTCTAGACAGAAAGATAAAAAGTTGCCTAAAAATGAGGCAGAGAACTGGGTACATACAGGAATGACTACTAATCAGTGTGAGATTTCCTCTGGGGGAAAATGAAAATGCTATAAAATTGATTATGGTGATGGTTGTACAACTCTGTGAACAGGCTAAGAGAACACTGAACTATACACTTAAAATAGGTAATTAGGATGTCTACAAGTTATACCTCAATAAAGCTGTTAAGAAGCAAACTGACATACTCATTTTTAAAAAGAACTATATGTTAGGTCGGTGGCGGCGACTTGGTGGCAACTTAGAACAAAGTAGCCCGCACCGGAAAAGAACATCAATCAGAAATGCCTGTCAATCAGCCAGACCTCCTGACTAACGCCTGTCAATCAGCAGGACTCCCTGGCCAATCCTGGAATTCAGCCAACTCCCCTGACCAACTCCAAGGGGGCAAGGGACCCTAGAAACACCTTTTCCTGTCCCAAGCCCTTCCCTTCCTGCTGTAAGCCCCATAAAGTCCAGTCTGGTAGAGCTTCCACGCGGTTTCTCCTCAGACCCTTCCTCTGTTCCCTCTGGGTCTGATGGAGTTCCGCCCGGGAGTGATATCTCAATAAAGCCTGTTCAGCGGCCCTTTTAAATCTGCCTCCTTTGGTCGCTGCCTACCTCGCCTGATCTGACACAATAGTTCCTTAAAATAGCCTCTTTAGAAAGCAGTGTATTTAGTACATTTGTCAGGACAGAATAGGCTTTGCTCCAGGAACAAATTAAACCCCACATCTCATGACTTACCTCACATCCAGGGTTGGCTGGCTGGCTGGCTTTTCTGGGCCATTCTTCTCCAAGTGGTGACTTAAGGATCTAAACTCCATCTGTGACATTGTCACTTTAAACATGTGGCCATTGAGGTCAACCATCAAAAGGGAAGAGGGAGAACAGATAACGGATGGTTCGTTGGGGTCCGGGGCATGGCTGGATTGGCAGTCATACACCTTCCTTCCTCCCACACCCCATTGGCCAGGATACAGTCAGTCACATTGCTCCAGCTTAATAGCAAGTAGTACTGAGAAAGTCTCCAGAGAGCAAAGTAAAATGAATTTAGTGACCATACAGCCATGTCTCTGCCTCCATCATCCATGGAGGAAAGGGGAAAAGAAAAGAAAGAACAAGAAAAAAGAAATTGGCTACTTCTTAAATTTCTAGATGTCTTTGGCAAATACCTTCATATCTGATTGAAATGCCCAAAAGGAACTTGTCCTTCCTAGCCCATAATTCTGTGTTTAGTACACACTAGGTCTACCCCATGCCTGTTAACATTCCCTATACTCTGGGTATACCTCATCACTTTAATGCCCTCTTGTACTGCAGGTTATCTGTCTCAGATGCATATCTCAGTCTCAGGCCATGAGCTCTATAAGGAAGGATCCATTGTATTCATTTCTTTATCCCCAAAAGGTAAAGAGATGCTAGATGGTCAAGCCAAGTTTGGGGACTTGAGAACCACAAGCATTTCCAGAACAGATAATCTTAATATGGCTTCTGCATAGTGTTCAGCACATCAGAGATCATTTTATTGATTCTCTTCTGGACCAACCAACAACTAAGCAGATATGACCATTCACCTACACATTCATTCATTCATGATTTGAGAATTATCTATCTATTAAGCACCATGTTAGGTGCTAGAGATTTTAGCTTAGTATCTTTAAATCGGAAGACTGACAGAAATGCTGAATCTTTATTCCTTATAAAGCTCATTTGTAAGAAAGGAGGACATTGGAGCCCTGGGAACAGCTACCACATCTCAGAGTCTGAGATGCATCCTACAGACACTGGATGATCAACATGAGTTTTGACTACAGTTCAATGGTGCAGGATGCAGTAGGTCTCATGCTTGAGGAGGACTCGACTCTAGTCCTAGCCAATGACTGGGACTGTTGCATGGATGGGACAGAGGGAGCGACTGGCCCTGTAATCGTGGTTTTGCCCTTGCTCTAGTTATGAACACTTTCTATCCCTTCTCTGTTGCTGACATTTACTTGTTTTATTTTTTTAATTGTTCCTTTTGCTTTAAGGGCAGAGAGTTAGCCAGCTGCTCAGTTCATGATACATCTCAGGACTGCTTCATGCAAGGTCCCGCTTCTGTTGCACCCCTGCACATTCCACCCTTCTGAGGCCTGTTTACCCTTCTGTTTCTCTGTGAACTAGAGAAACCAAAAGGTTGCTTTATAATTTCAGTTTACATAAACGGGAATGGTGTCCTGGATTGTATTCTGCTTCTTACTTTTCTCCCTTATCAGCAGTTTAAAAGCTGTGGTCGTGCTGCTGGGCGTGGGCCACTCATGTGACCATCTGTCATTTTACTCACCCATTTCCCTGTGATAGATGCCCGCTAGGGTTACCTCTAACTCTCCACTGTGCCCAAACAATACTGTGGTAAATCGCCTCTTTCCTGTCTCTTTGTGTGCAAATATTTGGAAAATATGCCCAGGAGCAAAATGTCTAGGACTTGAGATACACAAATACCAGATGTCAGCAGAGTGCAGTTGGCCTCCAAAATAGCTGTGCCCAGCTACAAGTTAACCAGCAGCACAGGGAGCATCTTGACCCTCACATCCCAATGGCCAACACAAGGCTCAGAGAGGCCAGTGCAGCTTAGTCTAAAATTAACAAGGAAATGCCATTATGTCAAGGACTGTCTCCTGAAAGTGGCTGTATTCATTCATCTTTCATTACTCCAATGAAATACTCAAGGCTGGGTGTTTATAAAGAAAAGGGGTTTGTTTACCTCACAGTTTGGAAGGCTGAATATCCAAACAGCATAGCACCAGTCCTAGTGGGGCCCGCCTTCACTACACTAACTTGTGGTGAATGTTAGGTGTCACCACAATGACAGGCGCACATGTGAGAGAGATGTCACATGGCCAGACAGGAAGGCAGACTGAAGGGGAGAGGCCGATGTGGAGACCTGCCTCTTACAAGTCCCACCGGCTTTCAGGACTACCACATTGGGGATCATGCTTCTAGCACATGAACCTTTGGGAGACACACTCAAACCGTAACAGCAGCATTTCCCAAGTGACATCCTATCTCATATCTTTTCCCAGCCAGTGCCATCCCTGGTCAGTAGAATTCTCCATGCACCTGGAGAGGCTTCCTCACTGCAGACTTGGCATCTGGAGGTGGATGGAGGGGAAGGGACAGTGAGTCAGTTAACCTGAGTCACAGTGCGCAATTTGATGAGGAAAGATGGGAACCAGAAGGGAGATGAACTCTTGCCCTGCACAAGCCATCCCAGGAAGCTTTCGAATCCTCACCCACCCCCAAGTCTTCCAGTTAATGCTCACAGCAGCCCTGGACAACAGACAGGGATGTTTAGAAATGAAGAACTCCATTCCAAAGTCAGGCGATTTGCCTTAAAAAAATGGCTAAGGCCAGAACCTCCTGTACCTCTTTGATGTTCAGGACCCACTGGAATAGGGGTGGAGGTGGGTGTCTTACTCCTCAGACAGGGAGGAGGAGGCAGGGAGGAAGAGAGAAAGAGGAAGGAGGAGGAAGACCCAGGCAGCTATCTCAGTTCAACAAAGACATTCCTATGTCCTGGCCCCAGGGGAGTTAGAAGCCACAGTGTCACCCGTGGGCTGTCTTCCAGACTCACAGGACCCACAGCACAGGCCTTGTGTTTTAAGTTCCAGCTCTTGTCCTTGGGCTCTGTGTGTACACAAGTACATAGATGTTGCCGCCCCACACCAGCTGGACCAGGGCCATGTGAATGCTTCTGACCTCCAGCAAATGAAACCCTCACAGCTGTCATGAGAGGCAGAAGGGGTACTTGATGAGCAGATATCTGTCCTGGGAAGCTAGGCCTTTGCACGCATTTGTTACTGGGGGATGGAGATCATGTTCAGGGCAATGTTTCCGCCACTAACTCTGGAGTCCCCGTACTGCCAATCACCAGTCACTGTCTCTCTATCCCCTCCCACAACCTCACATGGAGGACCTTGCCCTCACCTGGAGGCCTATGGCTCCTCTCTCTGCTGCATCTGCCTCAGGGAGAAATGAAACCGTGGTTAAGAGGGAAGATGTGACAGCGGGAAACCCCAGTTAGACCCCTGCAAAGACAGAGGACCCTTGGCTTGAGGCCAGCATCTTTCTCCAACCTTTTTTCAAGTCTCCCTGGAAAACTTTTTTTTCCCAGTTGGATACCCCGATACTTGAATGTGTCAAGGTCAAGAGCAAATCTTTCTTCCTCTATGAGGCATTTTTCTCCCTTTCACACCCTGGAGCAGCATACCCAAGTTTGGAAGAATTCTAAGCAGCAGGCAGATTGCTATAAAATAGATGTCATCAGGTGTTCCTACAGCAGGAAAAACGAGAAATGGCGAGAGAGGGTTTGGGGAGGGAGGAAGGGTGATAGAACCATTCTTCTTTGAGTCTTTGGCTCTGGAGAGAGGAGAAAATGGATGGTTTTGTTTGTCCAGTTTGAAAGCCCTGGAAGGCAGAGGAGACCATGGCCTATGAGAACAAGTCATGGAGCAGGAGGCTTATGAACTGGAATGTAGCTTGAGGCCCCCATCTTGGGAGTCAGCAGAGGAGGCTGCTGAATCTCATCAAAGCCTGGGACTGCAGGTCACTATTAGCTATGTAGAGCCTGGGACAGTGAGCTGTACCAGCAGTTGCAACCAAGACAACAAGAGAAAGTGAGCTCACCATGGACTGAGATCAGGCCAGCCCTGATCAAAACAGCAAGTGCCGGGAAGAGGCACTGAGGGAAAGATGTGAAACCACCTCATCTCCACTCTACCTCAAAATACCAGGATTATCCTGCACTCAGTGGAGGGGAGGAGGGAGACTTTTAAGATGAACTCTCAAGTGACTTTTATTTACAGAAATATGGCAAGCTGGGAAGCCTAAGACCATACCTCCTGCAATATGTCCAGAGATACTGGATAAAATGGAACACACAGAGCTTTAAATGCATAGTTGGTCTTGTAGGATGTAAAAGGGTCAGAAGATGAAAAGGGAACCAACAATAAGATCTACAATTATATGAGCTCCTCAACCTCTCTTCACCTGGGCTGTTCTGGAAGGACTGGTATTCTCTCAGAATCTAGGGTTTTAATACTGTGGGGGACCAGGAGAAAAGGCATTAGACCTTGCAAGCCCCCATTAAAAAAAAAAGCTATACAAATCTGGGGCCCTTGAAAGGCTGGATCTACCCTTAGTAAAATGGTCAAACAGAAAAAAATTCATCCACTGGTAGTTATGTCAGGGATTTGGGGCTTGGCCTGAGCTCAGAATGGGAAAAAAATTAATTTCCTTAGAAATCTGTCATTTTAGGCCTATAATCATGAGATCACATTTGGTTGTATATGACATACATGGCCCAGGAAACTCCAAGTCAGAACTTGAGTAGGAAAAACAGCCCCAAGCTGGTGATACCTAGGAGCACCTGGCTGGAAACAAATACTGTGGAGGGACCCACTCTCATATAAGGCATATAAAATTCCCATATATGAATTCCCCATGACACATTTTCTCATTATTTGTTAAGAGTGGTGTTGACTTCCCATTTCCTACCCATCTAGTCTCCCTTGCTTTGAACTCCTTGTAACTAACTATCTAATTTTCCAATGTCAGCATTGGAAAACTTCACTTATGTGCTACTTTCTCCACCTCCCAATCATTAATGAAGGTGTAAAACACATGATGGGAAAAATATCCAGTTCTACAATAATAGTTGGAGACTTCAGTACCCCACTTTTGACAAGATAGAACAGACAGAGGGAAGAAAATGGAATACTGGGACAACACCACAAGCCAACCAGACCTAAATTCTGTCCCAATCAAAGAAGACAAATTCTTCCCAAGTGCTCACAGA